CCCCACCCCCAGACATTGTAGGGAACAGTCTGTTATGGTACTGCTGGTTATTACTATGTCATAATACTGTGTTATTTACAGCAGTCTTAGAAATAAGTCTAAGCTATTTGCATTGTAACTTGATAAATGTCAGCATGTTGTGGAAATGTCCGTGATTGAGCTAAATGTAGACTGAATGAAAAGATTGAAGATCTCCGTAGATCAGCTTGCTTGCTGGGAATTATTTTTGCCTTTCCTATTCTGAGTGTAAGCAGAATTATTGAATATTTCAAAAAGATTCTTATCCCTGGATATGCCCTTGGAATCCCGTTTCCACAGCAACACAAAGCTGCTGATAAAAAAATCCCTTTTAAACTTCAAATCAGTCTTTTATTTAGAGTTGTAATTAGGATGTTTGCCTGTAGCATTGTGTGTTTTGTGTGTATTTCTGCATATGCTGAGAGCAGCCCGTAAAAGAGCCATGAGGTGAGTAATCCTGGGAGTGTTGGAAGAGTATCCCGTGGTGGGGTGAGCCCGCAGGCAGCGTGGCACGGGAGTGCTCTGGGGATGGGGGTGCCATGGAGGTTGTTTTGCAGTGGCTGTGTGAAGAACCAGCCCTGTGTGCGATGCAGGGATTGCCAGGAGCTGGCTCCTTTCCTCCGGCAGCTGCAGCGTGCTCTCACTTGTTCCACTTCTGCTCCGAGGGAAACATGCAGGGAATAGGAATGGATGGAAGGATGTGCAGCAGCCGCTGCGGGTGGAAGGAGCTGAGCTTTGGCGCTCGCCCAGATGTGCCTGCTGAAAAGCCCTCCTTCCCGGGGAGGAGTTAACGAGAGAGGGGCACATGGCACTGGCGGAGCAGTCCCTGCTGTGTGCTGGGCTGCTGCGAGCTGAGGGGCCTTTCTGGTCACTGCTTTTGGAAGCAGCCCCACCCTGGACTTCTGGTCAAAAAGGAAGTTAGTACTGGAGCAGTACAAGGCTAAAAACTGGCTTTAAAAGTTGTGTGGTGCAACTTCTTGGGTTATAAATGCTCATTTGTTTATTTTGTGCATCTGTGCATGATGTTTTACTTAGTCAAAACTTTGTTATACATTTACAAGATACTTAAAATTAGGAACGATAAACTGTACTGTGAGGGCTTGTATTGATTTTCACACAGTGTTGCAAAAGTATCTAAATAATGGAACTCTTGCAGGTTGTCACGGGATAGTAACCACAGCTTGAAATAGGAATAATGTTGTGGCTACTTGAGTTGAGTACTTGCAAAATCTATATTTAAATTTATCAAATTACAGATAAATAGCACTCATAGCTGAATGGTTGCTTCAGTTTGTGAAGCTGCACGTGGCTGGGGTGGAAATAAATCCGTTTGAGTATTTAGAGTGTTGGTGACTAGATTCATCATAATGTGAATAACACAGACAAAGAGACAATTATGTGGGCAGTGATCGGTATGCACTTATCAATTAGAAAGTAGAAGCTATAAACTAGCACTCTAAAAGTTGTTAGTATGTGAATTGTTATTCCCACTTCACAGATTTTTATCTTCTCTGCAAAGAAGTCAAGATAAAATAAGGTTCCTGCCTTTAGAAGGTGTCCCAATTAACTGATTCAGTGCAAATATAAACAGTTGTGAGGTTTAGTAGAAGCTGACAACCCAGACAAGTAGGTTACACTGTGCACACTGGGACAGCACTCCCAGAATGCAAATAATCTAAATTTAAGGTGTGCTGGGAGGTGGATGGGATGTGCATGTGGAGCTGTCTCTGGTTGGACTGCAGGGGGAGCGCGGGTGATTATTAGTCATAAAATTAGATCTTTAATTCCAGCTGTGGCTGAGGTGTACCCTAATAATAAGTGATAAGCTGGTACGTGGAGTGCAGGGGGGTGACACAGAGAGGACTTGGATTCTCACTTTTGTACTGGTTTCATTTGCAAACGCTACTAGTGCACACTATGAGCAGCGTTCTTCTTCAGCAGAGTTCTGGAGAGGAGTGTGCAAATCTGGTGGCAGGTTGGAGGGAGATTGTGAGAAACAGGGAAAGCTTTGGGAAACAACTCAATCTGGCCTACAGATGACCCAATTTTGATAGTTTATGGTGCTCCCTGGGTAGTGAAGTAGTTGTTGCTACATGGCTTCATAGGCCTAAAAGGGGTCTGGTAGTAGCATGGCTCTTCAGTTCCACTGAAGTTCAGTCTGATATGTAGCTTTCATAGTTTTTTATAGCACATGTCAAATTGAAAAAGCACTTTTGTAAAGGGTCACAGAGTTTACTTAAAACCAAATTTGCTTTGAAGGCTGTAGAATGTGAAATGATATTAACTAGATAATACAGATTCTCAGTGTACCTGTATTATGCATGACATTTAAGGTATTATGCATGAGCAAGTGTACCTGACTGCTTGTATGATTAGTTTCTTGCTCATAGGAATTGAGGTAGTCCTTCATATGTTTAATCAAGTTACAGAAAGGCTCATCTTCCAAAAGCATGACAATAGAAATAAATCCAGTGTCCCTTCTAATGTTTCAGCAAGGCGATATTTCAGTTTTGCTCCCCTTAGCTGAGGCAGTGCATGCTTAGTGGTGTTAGTGTGGGGAGATCTCCTGATACAAACAGAAAAACGTATGGAAAAGGTACCCTGGAGAGGAAATTCATTGCATCTCTACTGCAAATACTCAGCTTTTTTTCCACACTGAATTGTGTTTTATAGTTGAACCATCTGAAAGCAAAATTACCCATCCTTTTCTAAATAACAGCATAAACTATTTGGCAAGAAAATCCTTCAGGAACTATTAAGTGAAACAGCTACAAGAGAGGAAATCTTGGCATATTTAATTGATGAATTCAAGTTCTTTTAATCTGTACAAGGAAAGATGCATATTTTTCATCAGTAGTCAACCTTTGCTTGAGAAACAGTAACTGAGAGATTTATCAACTATTGTAAGAGATTAGGAGCTTTTATTTATGCATCATCAATTGGTAAATACTGGCATTTTGCCTTTTTTCTGCTCTGCATAGCTGCTACTGTCCAGTCCTTTGAGAGGAAGTAAGATTCTGCATTGTGGAAGAAAAAATTGCTCAAGTCAATACAAAGGAGGATGCAGGAGGTTTGTGTATAATGATAAAATGGTTCATAGAGTTCTTTTATTTCTTTCCTCAGTCCAGGTTGTTCGTGCTTCAGAGTTATTTCTGGTTTTGTTTTCTGCTTGTGCCCTGCCTTACTGGTACACTGTAAACCCTGCAGGTGATGAGCTCAGAAATCACTGTAGCCAAAGCACTTTTGAAGGCGATGGCAAGTTCCACTTATGGCGCTTGGTTATTATCTATTTTGGGACTTAGGAACTGCTAATGTGTTATCTATATATGCATATACATATGCAACAGCAGCAGTTGTAATGAATACTTGCTCAGCATGTGGCATTTCAAAGCGCTGGTGGAGCATCCGAGTTCAGGGTTTCTAGAGACAAATAAATGGTGCAGTCTGTGGGTACAGAACAGAGTTTAGGGATCCAGGCAGGTCAAAGGGATTCTGTGGAGAAACCATGCAAAAAGGACGTTACATGTGCATGAGCTGTGTGAAGCTCTTACTGACAACACAAATTACATGTCAGTTTTAATAATGGAAGTGAGAAATGTTAAACACTCTTGTATCTAGTGGTGACAGTAGTGTCTCAAAACACCTTGTTGCACCATACTCTGTTACTAGTAGAAGAGCCTTGATGTGGTCAGGCATTTGAATTCCTTTTAGGTCTCCTTTTCTAATTGGATTTTTGTATTTTATTCTGCTTTGCCTGGTCACCAGTTACCTGGTCATCTCAGCAGAGTAAGGCCAATTAAGAGAGTTTCAAAGAATGTTCTGGGACTAAATTATAGAAAATCAGTGGGATGTAAAGCCTCTCCGGCTAGTATGTTTATTTTTTATATTAAATGGTTGAGGTTAACTGAAAGGTATGGAATTTGATTGTTTTTTAATTTCCAAACAATGCAGGGGTGACCAAAAGGAAATTTGAAAGAAACAAGAATCGTATACACACATTTAAATTCTAATTAATTGAATTACCATATACTTTTATTACAAGTAGAAGGTGTATGATAATGAGATGCGTTGTCATTGATATAAACAGAACCATAGAAAACATCTTAAAACTTGTAAGGATTCATAACATTTTAGGATATAGCCTGCACTCAGATTTTAGAAATTTGTGTGTATTTTACTGAGCCTTTTAATTAGACTCAGGCTGTGATATTCTTCGTGCATGTGTAGGCATGTTGAACAGAGATGCTGAGCCTGCTTTATTGGGATAGCTGGGAATGCTGTTCTGAGCTCCTGGAATGACAGTCCTGTGAATGTAGCAACCAGTGTGTTCTTTAATGTGGGTCCCAATCCCTGTGATCCCTCCCTGCCCTGCTGCTGCCTCCCCTCTGAGTGTACACTTGGATACATCTTTCTCCTCTTGAACTCTATTATCTTTGGAAAGGTGTTTTCACAAATTCTCCACCCCTTTTGTTCCTCCATGTGTGTTACAGAGGTGCCGACAGTGTACATCAATGGAGGGATAAGAGGTTGTGACAACGGTATTGCTTGCAGGAGTTAGACATAGGATGTGGAATTCTGCTGCTTGAAAGCTGGTTTCTGAAGGCTTTTCTGTGCCCCACGTGAGTGGGTTAACTCAAGATTAACTTTTTCTCTCAAACTTTTGATGATTACAGCATATAGAAAAAACCTCACGCTTGTTTGTTCTACAGGCTGATAAGAAAACCAAATACTTCTTCCTCTGTCCAGGATCCCAAGAATCAGCAGACTCCAAGTCAGTTGGGAAAGCCAGTGGCTGGTGAGACCCATATTTTTGTCTGTTCTCTGAACTAAAAGACATGTGTCGCTGTCACCTCTCTTCATTTGATAAAAATAAATGTAAACCAAGTGCATCACCCCTACATTCCATTGAATTCATATTCTTTCTGAAGTGAATTAATTTAATATTCGTTATAATTGATGTTATTGATTCTCCTCTAGTTCTGCTTATGATAACGTCAACAAAGTTCGAGTTGCTATAAAGAAAATCAGTCCTTTTGAGCATCAGACGTACTGCCAGAGAACTCTGAGGGAGATCAAGATCCTACTGCGCTTCAGGCACGAGAATATTATTGGAATAAATGACATTATCAGAGCTCCAACTATTGAACAAATGAAAGATGTGTATCCTTTGCAAGTGTTAAGTTATTCTGCATTGTTAGTGATGGTTGCCTCCTTCTCTGTTATGATTGTTTCTTCCTCTTCGTCCTCTTCCTTACTAAATTTTAATAAAAGGTGGCTTCTATTGTTGTAAATCGAAAGGGAAATTAATAGTATTTGCTCAGTCTATAGATAAATAGATAAATTTGATGTGTAGATGAACTCTAGTTTTGTCCTTTCTTGTCCAGGAAAAGAGAAAAATGTTAATTTCTCTCTTCCAAGGCAGAGAACTCTACATTGTAGAAAAGATTTAGCTTAGTCACTTAATCCTAAAATTATATTTGCTCTTAATAGAGCTGCTGTTAAAACAGATTGATTTGAGGAGAAAATAAAATGGCTAGACTCTGCTATAATTCTCTAAAATTTTAAAGGATAAACTTGATACCTCTTAGGGGGAAAGAATTAAAATAAAGTAAAACACAACCCCCAGTCTTGCAGTGCTTTGTGCATTTGTGAAAGGTCTGAAACTGCACAGGGGCAGGTAATTGCCTGATTAACACATGGAGATCTGTCCTTTTTGTTACACTGATGGTCCTTTTCACGGGAAGCTTGGGTTTGTGTGGCTATGACTTCATGTGTGTGTCTGTCAGGTGAGGCAGTGTTAGCTGGGAGGCTGGACCTGGGATACAAGGCCTGGCTTAGACTCACGCAGCTGAATTTTCCCCAGTCCACGTGCATTTGTCCCTGCTGGATTTGTGGGTCATTGTAGATGTCTGCCCAATACAAGCCCCAGGTGTGTGTGGGCAGAAATTGGATTGAGTCCAGGTCAAATGTTTGCACTTCACACTATCAATATATTATTTGAGTTCAGGCTTATGTGGGGCCCTTTTGACTGATGTAAGTGCATGGTGCCTGTAAAACGGTGTCCTGATTGAGAGGTCCGGTATAAATACCCAGAGGAGAGGATGGGAATACCCAACTGGAATGGCAGTAGTGGTGTGTTTTCACAAAATCCTGGTTCAGTGAAAAGTGATCAGGGAACTACACCCCAAGGGTTTTGCAGCCAGATTGAATTATGAGGGAAGAAAATTTTACTTAACTCATTGCTGTCAAAACAGATTAAAAAATTCCCTTTTTTAATGTTCATTGCAATCTTAGGAAAAAAATCATCTGTCTGAAAATACTGGGATTTAATTTGAGTAAGAGAGGAACCGTTGTGTTTAATGTAGCATAAATATATATATAGTAGAGAAGAACAGCTGAATTTTTGAAGTGGGGAGATGGAAGAGAACACTGATAAGAAATGATCAGATCTTTTACCTTTTATGCTGCTATGCAACTGCAAGCAAGTATCTTCGAAGCTTATTAGTCATTAACTTAAAACCTGCCTTTGTTTCTTGGCAAGCAGGATAGGAACCAGATGAAATTAGGATTCCTATAAAAGTCAAGCTCTACTATAAAGAAATAGAGGTTTATGATGATTAATTGGAGAGGACCACATGCTGGTACCTCTTAGTTCTGTAAAGGGCTGCATCGTGTAACAGGATTGATTGGATTCCAAAATTCTAAAGCAAGAAGTTTGTTTCATAATTGTCATGAAAAGACAAAAAAGAGAAAAATTGTTCTAGAAGTTCCATTGAGTACTGTGTGTTGATATCTAGTACGACACCACGGGTTTTTTGCTGCCTTACATCTAATGCCTTACAGATACATTGTGCAAGATCTTATGGAGACAGATCTTTACAAGCTCTTAAAGACTCAACACCTCAGCAACGACCACATTTGTTATTTCCTTTACCAGATTCTGAGAGGGTTAAAATATATCCATTCAGCCAATGTGCTTCATCGTGACCTCAAACCTTCAAATCTGCTGCTTAACACCACGTGTGATCTCAAGGTGAGTTGAAATGTCTTACAAATTTTCCTACCATGGTCTTCATAAACTACCTGCTATAACCATGAATGTGGGTTTTTTACTGGGGATTAATGCGATTTTTATCCTTGAGAGATTGCCAATACATTATCTGGTTTGATAAAATAATTATCAAGATTGGAGTGACTAAGAATCTCTGTTAGGCTACTGTAATGAGTGCATCACTGTTTCCATCTGGAGGTTGACTTGGAAACAGCCTCTTTCAAAGCCGGATGAAAATACTGATCTGAAGCAGAATCATGTTTACCTCAAAAGTAAACTGACAACTGTGTATATTTCAAGTTTTGGGTTCTCTGTTTACACTGTTAATGTTTCATTGTTTGTATTTGTGGGCAACTGAAGTGGCATGTGAGATTCAGTGCTGATTAAATGCACAGCAATTACTTGGAGAGAGAAGATTCCTAATTTGCATTTCCAGTGATGGACGCTGTACTCGTTAATACTACAGAAGGATGAGCTTAGAGCTGTTATGATTCTTGGAAAATGTCAGCTCAATGCTTAGTGGCATTCAGTAAAGCAAACCAAGTGTGGAGAATTAGAACAGAAATAGAGAATAAAACAGAAAACATCCTATTCTGTACCTTTCAGTTGGTTGAGTCTTCAGTTTGGTGTGATCATAGTTATCACACTTCTCCCTATGATATCTTCGAAAGTGAGGAGACCAGGATTTCAAAGTACAGCTCTCCATATCAGAAAGAGTTGTTTAGCCCAGGTCTCCTTTGCTGGAAGATACTGCATGAGGAAAAGAGAGAATACAATAGAATTTGATAACATTGTTAGTGGCATAGGGAGGGTAAATAGAGAACAGTTGTTCACTGTCCTTACCTATGAAAAAGGCAGGGGGGATGAAAGGAGCAGGTACCACTCGCAGCATTGTTAAGCTCTGGAATTTCTTACCACAGAGCACTGTAGATATTGCAGTTTGGAAAAAAAACCACCCCCAAGCAAGTTTGCAGGGAAAAAAAGCTATTGAGAGCTACCTCTGGTTTAGAGTCCTATTGTGGCAAATTCATGGAAGATGAGAGAGGCTTTGGAGTATGTTCCCAATTACGCTGTACATCATGTGTTTGCTGCTGGCCACTAATGGAGTGAGATTATGGAGTTTACAGGACTTGATTTGATGTGCTACAACTGTGTTGTATACTCTGTTGCTCCTAATTACCCTCTGTTTTTTTAGTGTAGCTCTAACTTTTTCAATAAACAAACTTCAAGCAAAACAAAAATATCCTGTTCAAAGTGTGAACCAGTTGGAGGCTGTTACAATTCCAAGAGAAGTCCTTGCTGTTCGTATGCTGGTCTGTTCTAAATACTGGCTATGTGATTGGTTTGCTTTACATTCCCACTGCTACTTGTCAGCTTTTCCTAATGCACTGCTGGGCTGGTCACCTCTTGACTCCTGCTGTGGGATTTCAGCAGCTGTTATTACATCAGATCCCTTCAAAGGCATTAACCCGTTCATGAAAGAAATGGAGTTAAATCTACAACTATGTGATAGAAGCAGGAAAGAACAGTTTGGGTGTAACTCTGGGCTATGTGTAATTTAAGGAAATAAAATAATAATAGGCAATGTTTTAACATGAAGAAGTTGGGCATGAAAAAGAAGGTAAACTCACTGTACAGCAAAATAATACAATATGACCTTAGTGTGCTCTGTTACAATTCCTTTATCAGATTTTCAAGCAACCTGCCACTGCAATATGTACTCCCTGGTGCAGAGTATAGGAGTCTATATGACAGCATTTGATTTTTCATAACCTAAAGGGAACTCTGGTGCTGTACAAATACCACATCTAAAGTTTGAACAGCAGAATTGGAAACCAGTACATGTTGGGTCTCGTCTATGGATACTGAACTTGTATTAACCTGTTTCTTTGAGGGCCGTTGTGCAAGTTTGTGTGTCAGCTCTGCACAGGGCACAGAGTTGGTTACTGTACATCAACTCAAAACAACATAGAGTGAAACAACTTAAAATCACACTTTTGAAAGAAGGAAAATAGAAAGTTTACTCATCTTGAGTGGTAATTCTGTGAGCTTCCTTCTTTCATGGTGTTATGAGAACTCTCTTCTGGAGCTCAGAGTTCTACAGGTTGTAACAAGAGCTCCTTCTTTCTTCACCCTTAAACATGATCTTGACCTCTGGATTATAGATTTCATTTCCAGGAAAAAAGTATATTAATCTCTATTGACCAAATGTGTTTGTGAATGCCGTGGCTTGTCCTGAGCAGCTGAAAGGCTGCAGGAGTGCAGAGCTAAAGCTGTTTCTGTTTCTTTAGGCGAAGCTACAGACTTAAATGTTTGAGACCTTAAAGAGGACCTACCACATGGTGAATGAAAGCTGGTGAAAGTACCTCATTTGACTTAAGTACTGTCTGTTGTTACATATTTGCAGTGAAAAATTAGATTTGAGATTTCTTGAAAACTGCTACTTGGAATCTTTCTCCAGTGAGAGTCCTGTGCAATAAAGATACTGGTCTCTTTTGCAGCCTGGCATCTTTGCCATGAATGAGATTAATGTGTACTGACGTGCCACTGACAGGCTGGAATAGGCTCTAAATAGTTTAACATTTTTACAAGTATTTTCACATGATTTCATGATTCTCTGCATCCAACAATTTGACCCGTTTTGTAGTTCTGTAAATGAAGTAAGTTACATAAAAACTCCCATGGCCATAGGAAATTCCTGGGCAAGTGGCATTAATATTTCAGAAAATGAGATCAAAGTTATTTTAAACAGATTCTCAACTAGCACGTTGCATGTTTTCAGTGTCCCACGTTACTCCAGCTGAGAATCTACTCATTTGACTTAGTTAAAACACAAACATATTATAGCAATATTATAAGTTGTGCTTTTCCATCTATGTTGTGAAAAGTCCCACGTGTTAAATGACCAAGAATTGTTACACACTGCAACAGGCTTGAAAGGAAGGCAGTGAGAGATGGTTTTTTAAGGAAAAAATGTTATTTGTTTCAGAATTTTACCACTAACTGTAGAGATGCAACTGTTTCAACTGCCATCTTATTAATAACAACTAAACTTAATGGAGACCTCTCTGTTGCCTTTTATACAAATACACACATGCAGGCACAGGCTACTCAGCAATACAACTGCAAATATTTCAGTATGTTAGTAGTATTGTTGGGTGTCATTTCATTTGCTTAGTAAATGGTCATATTACATGATCCTCCTGAATCTTCCCATCTGCTTGATAGCTTCACCCAGTTTTAAGTCATCTCTGTTTATAAAAAAAATCCCAACCATCCCTGATACTGATTGCAAGAACAGTTTGCAAGAAGTGGAAGCTAAATATATGACTAGGATGCTGGCATCTTATTAATGAATTAATCTATTTATTTAGTGGGGAAGTAATTTCTTCTGTCTCAGTAGCATCTGTTCTGTCTCTCCAAGGAATGAAGCACTGACTGCCATACCTGGGTCTTCCATTATGCAGGAACTGTGTGCCCTCACCCTCACGTGTGCAGCCAGTGCTGTGCTTGTCCCTCACACCCGGGACTGCAGAGCACAACTCTGACCTCTCCAGCTTCTCTTGTCCCTTGCACTGGCACTGCAGGCAGAGCTCTGGATCTCCAACTTCTCTTTACTCTGCTCTGCTTTAACACTTCTGTCAGCTCTGCAGCCAAAACCCTCTTCCTTGCATCTTCAACCTTGAAGCCTTTCTCACTAATGGTGTTTCTTCTTTTCTGCTTAACCTGTTTCTGCTCCAGTCAGCAGGGGCTTTTTGTCATTTTAATGAGCTCTCTCTGTCATTGTTCTTCCTTTCCATCCCATGTGCATTTTTCAACTCAGAGATTGACAGACACCTTCTGTAATTCAGTTCTTGCTCCTCACTGTGAACCGGAGAGTGTCTTTCTTCTTTTGTTTTAATAGTAACAAACCCTAGTGCTTTACTTATGTGTAATACTAAAATTCTGCACAAGTCTCCTTGCCTGGAGTATCTAGCTTTTATCTAGCTTTTTTCTGAGTTTAGGAGGAAGAGATTACAACAATTTTGCCTGCCTGCATGATTATTTTCTGAACTCTCCATAAGCTGTCCTCTACAGTTTCTTTGTTACTGTCTTTAGAGGAGACTCTTCTGATTATGTGTACCGAGTCTCTTTATGTAAGCTGCTAATTGCACACAAGGCAGCTGCTCTGGTCTTGTAGCCTGGGAAAACCTTGACATGTTTAAAAGGGTTCTTTCTGGGCTTGTTTTTTAAGGATTCAGGGGTTTGGGTTTATTTTTTTAATATGTAGCTAAAGCCAGGTCATGCAGCCTGGCTTATGACATTCATCACTTCCTTTTCTTCAGACCTTGTGTTTTACAGTCAGCTGCTGAATCTTGTCTTTTAGAGGTAGCTTTTAGTCAGCTGAATCACTTCTTCCCTAACTGATCTATCAGTTGTCTCACAGGCAGGTTGTCCCTCCAGGAAAATTAAGGAGTAGCTGCCAGGGTGCAGTGAGGTTTCTGTGGTTGTGATAGGATTATCCATTACTGCCTTTATTGACTACAATATATTGTTACTTCACATTTTGAATATAATCAATGTACACAATTCACTATAAAAGAGTAAATATTATAAAACATGCAGAGGAAACTTCCAACTGTTTGCCACTCCTGCATTTGATGCCTTGTTTTCATGAGAGTACATATTCTTTCATGCAAATACACTTTGTGTGGAAATCATAAGCTGGTATTTGTTTGGGGGATAGCAGAACCATAGGAACATGTCTAATGTGCTGCTCAACCGTCTTGCCATTGACCTTTGGGAACGTAAGAAAGGAGCAGCTGCTCTGCTCTAGAACACTGTCTGTCTCCACATTTTCACTTTTTTTTTTAATTTCTCTCTGGAGAGGGGGGCCACTAAATAGTTCTGAAAGCTGTGGAGCCTCCTTACCAGAGCAGGGCTAAACCCACCTCTTCCTTTTTGCTGAACTTGCTAGTCTAAATCAGAGTTTATTTTTCTTTTCCTGGTTAGATAAAACTATTTATCTGATACAGTGTTGACAAATATTTTTTTGCATGTGTTTAGTTTTGGGGGTATTTTTTTTTTCTTTAAGCTTATGCTTCCTTCAACAACCTGTAATCTCTCCAGTCTACCATTATCTCATGATTGGATAGGTTGTTTCTCGTGCAAAGATGCAGTTATGGTGGTAACTTTTGTAAGAATGGGTGTTGAACTTGGTTACAAATATGTTGGTTGCTAATTTTGTTTTCTGGAAAGCTTAATTGCTTTTTCTTTTTGTTTTCTGGTGAATTTCTAAGAGTTTGGAGCATTGTATCTCACCAGCTGTCTGGCAGAGGTGCTATTCAGTAGGCTCAGAGTGGAACGTGGGTAGAGTCCTTCCCAAATCTTCGTGTTCGAAGCCTAGCCATGACATAGTGGAATGTAAATTGTGCACCAGGAACATCTTTTTTTCCCCCAAGTGTTTATTCTTCCTGGCCCCTGAATGGTGGTTGGATATTCTTTGTAATTGATCCAAAACATTTTTCTTAAACTTTGTGTACTAATTTTTTTCTAAGAACATAGGTTGCCGTTACTATTTTGGAGATGTTCCATCGTTGGTTGGGAATGATGAATTAGTAATGTTATAATATTGGAAGACGTATGTCTAATTTGCCTTTTTTCCTATTTCTTTCTCTAAACCCAGATTTGTGACTTTGGATTGGCTCGTGTTGCAGATCCTGATCATGACCACACAGGATTCTTAACAGAGTATGTGGCCACACGTTGGTACAGGGCTCCTGAAATCATGCTGAATTCTAAGGTGAGACACAGTGTGCTGCTGTGGTGCTTCTGGGGCTGGTTATTCCTTTGTGAGTACCAGCTGTACTTCCCCCTCTCTGTGTTTTTAGGGTCAGAATGCCTGCACAGTCTTGGGGGAAAATGGTAATGGATTTGCAGTACAGCTACTGGCTGGCAATAAATTTGTGATTCCAGAATCAATTATTGGATGCTACAACTGAGTAATCCTGTGCAGAACTTCCCATGTCTCCAGTTCCTTGGCAGTCATGGGACTGCTCTGCCAGTGAGCAGGACAGAAGGGTTAGGAATGAGCATTCCACTGCTGCCTCCAGCAAGGCTGCAAACGCTGCCTTAATGTTATCTTGACATCTTAATTTAGGTTTAGAATGTATAATGAGAGTGAATCTGATTCTGAATGAAGGCATGTGATCTTTGTTATGTGTCAATCTTAATTGCATTCCCATAGTCTCCATGAAGTCATTCCTTTGTTTTTTATATGCTTGGAATTACTGTTGTGTGCTTCTGTGGCTGTTTTAAGGTGTGTCCAGTCCCTGTGTGCTGTGGGTCATGGGTGTCCTCCAGAACCCCTGTGTGGGCTCCCACAGCAAAACACCTGGGTGACACCTGGGGTTGTATTGGATATTTTGGGAAGACACTGTTGTTTCTGTAGGATTTACAGTGTTGGGTGGGTTTGGTTTGTTGAGGCAATAATGTGTCTAAGGTGCTTTTAGAAAACAGACATCTGACCAATCCAGGGTTCCACACATGTTTAGGGCACTGTCAGGAGCTGTGGAAATAAGAATACTTGGTTTCCAAAATTTGTTAGTTTAAATTTGCTATAAAATCAGGGAGTCTTGAAAAATTGCAGTTGGTAACAGATTTAGCTAAACTTTGAGAATCCTTTTGGAAAAGCATGTCTTAGATAATTCAGTTCTTGCTACCCCTTCAAAGTAGTGTTTTGATAGAGGATTCTTAATTATTTCATTCTTTACAGAGAAAACAAACAGCGTGAACAAGCATGACTCATCTAAAAAAGAAAAAGATTATTTGTGTGCGCTTTCACAATTTACTAACGTAACATGTTGCTGCAGTTATGCAAAAATTTGACAAAAATATGTTTCTGCTTCCCTGCAGGGTTATACCAAGTCTATTGACATCTGGTCAGTGGGCTGCATTCTGGCAGAGATGCTCTCCAACAGACCTATCTTTCCAGGAAAACACTACCTTGACCAACTTAACCATATCCTTGGTAAGCTTTATGGCAAAGCAGCATTTCCACATCCCTCTCTCTCCGTCTTTTCTACCAGTTGGGCTGGTCTTTCTCCTGTGGGTCAATGTGTAAGGTACAGGTCTGTAGGTGTATCAGCTGTTCCCTGTAGTTATTGCTGCAGGGATTTCTACATCTAATCATTGGTTTGGGGACAACTAGAAGATACTTACCAATGTGTTTACTATATCAGCAGAGATGTTTTTAAAGTAAAATTTAAAAAAGATACTTAAAAAGCTCATGTATTATTAGATTCAGGTAAAATTTTTAAAATTTCTATAGATAAACCACTTGCTTGGATCTTTTTAACAAGTTACTGATCATTAGAAAACTCAAATGCATTTGTTTATTAAAAAAATGTTTTTAGTAAAGGTTTCTAAAATCTTCTGAGGTATTCTGTGTTCTTAAAGCATTTAGTATGAAATCGTCTTCCCATCAGTTTTAATACTGAGTTTTACCAGATAGATACAACTGTATTAATGTGCTTTTCACAGAATGCACTGTTGTTTGTATTAATTTTTTTAGGTATACTTGGATCCCCTTCCCAAGAAGATTTGAATTGTATAATAAATTTAAAGGCCAGAAACTACTTGCTTTCCCTACCACACAAAAATAAGGTACCATGGAACAGGCTGTTCCCAAACGCTGACCCCAAAGGTATTTAATGCTCTATTACATTGTGTCAAAATAATGACAGGATGGGAGTTTTTAAAACCATCCTAAATAGAACATGCAGGTCCTTTAAAACAGCACTATAAATCCAGTATAAAATCACAAACCAGTGTGAAACCCTCATAGTGGCTTATTTTTTTAAATTTAAATTTTTAGTAACTCTAAGATTACATGTTGTGGTGTTTGATCTTTACCTTATGTGTAAAATCCAAAGTCCTGTCACTGTGCTGAACATCAGATTTGGATTTTGACATCAGCATCAAACAAGTCCTGAACTTTGTTTCTGACATCAGCCAGGAGACAGCAGCTTGCTGCTGCAGTGGGTAGGGTTTGTGCAGACTGAGTGTCAGTTCTAGGTCAAACAGGGTCATGTCAGTCAAAGGGCAGGTCCTTAGGCACCACGAAAGATTACAATTTAATGGGTTAAAGAATTCAGTTATAAGTTGAGCAAAATTTATAAAAGCAAGGAATGTAATAATTATTGCCTTTCTTAACAAGGCTTTAGTAAAGGGTAAATTTGATTTTGTTTTGCTAGCTAGCAATTAATTTGCCTTTTAAACTACTTCATAGAGTTTAAGGGTTGTTTTGTTCACAGTACAGTGCTCTGACACAATTCATAAGTTACTCCTTTTTTAACTGATATGATACTTTATTCTTAGTGGATATGATCAGGTACTGAAGTACCACTTAGAAGCTAATTTCTGCAGATGGAACTGTGTCAAACTGATTATCCTTGTCATTGAGAGAAACAGCAGTGATTTATTCTGCTTTTATAACAGTGCTCATCAGTGTGAGAATTGTTACCGTGGGCTTTGACAGCTCAGATTGCAAATGCTGGTGCCTAAGCTGAGGGAATGTGCCGTTAGCTGACTTGTGCAGCACTTCTCATCGACATCCTCAGAGCAGCTTTGACAGGGCAGCTTTTCCGAGAGCTGGTTGTCAGTCACTGCAGGAGAGAACTGTGCAGAACGTGCTCCAGCACAGACTGAGCACGTGAGCTGCCAGTGCTGGGAAAATGGCAGCAAAATACCAGCTGTTAATTGTGGGGCAAGTTTGAGGGTTTTGGAGCTGGTGCTGAATGCAGTGCTGGGTGTGCACCTCATCCCGGGGCAAAGCTGTGCTGCAGCCAGAAACCTCTGTTTAACATTCTGGTTCATAAATCATGTGGTGAGAAGAAATGTGATGGAATTTAGGATACTGCAGATACCTTTGGGCTTCTTGCTCCTATAATCATTCTGTTTTCTTTCCTTGCACTGATGTTTGTCCAGAGTTTCATCAGACCTCACTCGCTGTCTTACTGAATCTTCAAGTTCTCTATAGATTCTTTACAAATTGTCTTCAACAGATTTGCCTGAATCTCATAAATATAAATATATTTGCATCTTCTCTGGAGAGTATCTTCTGGGCTGCTGGTTGTGCTAGAATAGTTCACTGGGATGACCTAGAACTCCTAATGACTCTGGATAACATTTTTGTCCATAAACAGCAGTTTTCTTTTCACAATAAGAACATATTCTTAATTATTTATTTCAGAAAAGCTCTAGCTTGGTTTGGGTTTTGGCACAAAAATCCAAAGCATTTTTCTGAGAGAAGAAGTAGTCTCGGCTATTTAATTTCTGCTGTAGTTAAAACCAGATTGTTCCATAGGGTTCTATGCATTTGTTCCCTTGACATCTGTTCTGAGGCTGCAGGGCCTGTGGAAGGGTGACCTGTTAGACAGGTCGTGCCAAAGGCAGCTGTAGCCCAGGAATGGTGATGGATGGGCTGGCAGAGACCTCTGCCCGGGTTACAGCTCACAGTCTGCTGCTTCTGTCACTGCTGCTCTGGCCAGGGAACTCCAGATATACATTGACATTGGCACAGAACTTGGGGTGCTGGGAGTTCTCTGTGTAAGATCCGTGTTTGTAACACTTTGGTGGAGTGTGTATTAAACTCTTGCTCACTTTTTTCCCTCTTAGCACTCGATTTGTTGGATAAAATGCTGACCTTTAATCCTCATAAGCGGATTGAAGTGGAGCAAGCTTTAGCCCATCCATATCTGGAGCAATATTATGATCCAAGCGATGAGGTAAAGACATTGTTAAAATGTAAACATTGATTAAATTGTACAACAGGTTATTTCCTACTTTAATTTAAGGCTGGTGTTTCTAATGCTCTGATGGAGCTGAAGAAGGAATTCCATCAATTTACCAAAATTTTATATTTCTCACTGTAGTACAGCATTTTGGAGACACCACACACTAAATAGATGCTAAGGTGTCCTCTCCAGGAAATGGAGATTCTCAGCTGATGTGGCTTTGTTTCATAATGTCTGAGATAAAGGCGGAGAATGACTGAGTTTGCCATTGGATTATGCTTTAGAAACCCTGAATCAGAACTTGCTGTAGTTCAGTGTACAGTTCTGAGGAGATTTCTGGTTACTTTTGGTGAAGAACTAAGGGAGGAGGAAATGAGCTAGTTTTCCCTTAAGGGACAAATATGTTTATTCCAAGAAATACAATGTTTAAGGTAATTTTTTCTACAGGTAGATACTGAGTTATGAGCCTGTAACAAACATTTTAACTTGTGGTTTAGATTTGAGTAGCTCCTTACTGTCATTTGATTTAAAACTTGGTGAACTAATATGTATAAAGCACACACGGGACTAATAGGAGTTCTGCCCTGAAGGCTGCAATGTTGGATATTTTTGTAAAGGGCATTTTCAGATTTTTTTCCCCATCTGTACAAGGACTGCATGAAATTCAGCAGAAGAGTAATATTAAAGTAATAATATTTCTTTGCATTATCAAGCCTGTAGCTGAAGCACCCTTCAAGTTTGATATGGAGTTGGATGACTTGCCGAAGGAAAAGCTGAAAGAACTGATTTTTGAGGAAACTGCTAGATTCCAGCCAGGACACCGATCCTAATTTGTGTGTAGGTAAAGTCACAGCAGTGTGGGACCACTCGGGCAGGGGGAACAATTTGGGACTTTGTTGCCACTAGTGAAATGTAGGACTTGCCTTTTCCAGTGCTCCAGTAACTCCCTGTCCAAGGACCTGAGCTCAGTCCTGTTCTGTTTTTGAAGAAACAGTTTCTGTTTGTCCACAGCATTGCAGTGCCCCTGTGGAATCCAGGCAATTGCCCCAGATGTTTACCTAGTTTGTACATTACCTTTAAGGAATAAGAATTACATTTCAATAGTGCTGCTTGGAATGAAAGTGATGGTAACGCTTTGAAATGCAAATTTTAAACATTTTAAGGGGCAATGTCCTTCATATATTACAGATTATTCTGTCATATGGCTCCAAACGGTTTAAAAAAAACCCTCCTCCTAAATGTACTGTACAGAGGAGGAATGTCTTAAATTATTGAAAAGGGAAAAGAACCACGAAGCTTCAGTATGAATTATCTTCAGTTTTAAGTAACTCTGAAATAGTGTGAGTAACTAAGAACAGGTATCTAAATATTCATAAATTAGTTGCAATTAATCTTCCTAATATTTTGAAGATCTAAAATTTTAATTTAAAATGTAATGTACTGGTATTCACTGACTCTTTTTTTTTTTTTTAATCAATTAATTTAACTGGTCTTCCTGTACCACAAGGCTTGCACATCTCAGGAGTTTCATACAGAATTGGTCAAATACTGACTTGAATAATTTTTGTAATACTTGTGAAACTTCTATGATGCTAATAGGTTAAAGTAGCAAAGTTTTATGACTGGAAAAGAAAAACAAACCAAAGAGGAGAGCCTGTTGTGGGCTGCCTGGTTCATGCTCTCTGTGCTGTCCTCCATCCAGCAGCATTCCACAATCACCGGTTTGTGTGGGCAGTTCCAGCAGGAAGGGGAAGTTTTGAGCCAGGGAACTTCCTCACTGCCAGAAATCCCCAGCTCTGCTGGCAGTGTGTAGGAGCTTTGTGGCTTTGTTTTAAGCAATAATTCTTCTGCACTAAAAATGAGATTTCAGTTTCTGCATTGCATATACCCCCAGGTTTTTATTTAATGATGAATTCATAGGAAAGGAAGAAAAAAAGTTGGGGAGGAACTTTGGAAAATACAGTTTTTACTTAAATAAGGTAACTACTGTTGCCACTATCTTGAATATTCGGGTGTATAGAAGCTCACAAATGAAGTCATTTCGATTTTTACAAATACTGCATTCTGTTTATTTAAGCTTACTAGCTGACATTGAAACTATTGTAATAATGGCATGTTAGAGAAATCTGAGAGTCACTCAGCTGGCTGTTAATAGTTGGGCATTGCCAGTAGGAACAGAGCTGGGATATAGTGTTGTGACTGGTGTTCATTTCCCATCCATGTTTTCTGAAGCTGATTCTGTACAAGAGCACGAACTGTGCATGTACACGTTGGGGAAGAGAATTAGATAAGTTTTTAGGAGCAAGATGAAACCTGTTGCTAGCAGGCCATGGTGTCAGGGAAGGGACAGCAAGTAGCTACTGCTGGTAAATCGTAGTTCGTGATCTCTCCTGCTTGCCTCTTTGTCCACACCATACCTAGTTTGTATTAGGGATTAAGGGCTAAAGGAATTAGGGATAAAGATATCAGTGATATGGTGCGACTGGAAATTTCTGGTTTACTTAAAGTGTTACCTTCAAATGCCACTGTGCAGAGTTGGCTTGGCCAACACGATGCTGAAATTGAAATATTGTACTGAGCTTGATAAGGATATGCTGGTAATTTGTCCAAGTTATTTGTGGTTACAATTGCCAGCTATGCCATAGCACAACAGCTGACATCCTAGTTGGGGCCAGTCCCCAGGAGTTGCCTTAAAATGGGACAGAAACAGTCTCCTCCTGGGCACTTCTACTCCCCTACACTCCCTCCCAGGCTTTACCAGCCAGCTCGTCTCTCTGGGCTGTTTCTCAAGATTCAAAGTGTCCCCCTGGGTTGTAGTTTTTGGATTTGAGAAGCAATGTGAAAATAACAGATTTTTGGTTCAGACAACCAAATCATATACTTCATTGATTAGTTATGTTTAAACTTCCTAATCTTTTGAAGATTGAAAATTTTAGTTTAAAATTAAATGCCCCGATATCCACTGTCTCTGACTTATTTTTTAACTTATATTGGTCCCGCTGTCTGACTCACGGTAAACATAGTGTGCACAGAGCACACAAATAGGAAAGTGTTTGTTTTAAAAGGCAGTGTGAAACTTCCTTCACTGAAATATGTCTCTGCTCTCTTTTGTAGGACAAGGACTTAAAGGACTGGGCATGCTCAAACGTTGCTGTTCCTCTTCCCAGTTCTTTATTGTTGGTCATGTCTCGTGGCCTCTCTCAGCTTATCCACTAACTCCTTTGAGCCATTCAGGAGGGCGGTTCCTGGTAGTTTTGGCTTTTCATGCTTTCAATGAATCTTTAAGGCTGAAGAATTGTAATTGACACTCCTCTGCATAATGCCCCTTGTTGACCTGTTGCAGTACTGTACTGTACGTGCACCTACTGCTGCCCGTGTTTTAACTGCTTGCTTTCTGGTTTGAAAGATGCAGTGGTTCCTTTCACTCCTGGATCAATATCCAAGAAGATAATTCATTAACCTGTAAGACGTTTACACCATGAACTATGTTTTTCTGACTTTACCGAAGTCGCTGGCATTTTTGTTTTTTTTTAAGAAAAGCTACTATTCAGGGCACTTTAAGTCAGTGACATCCCAGATTTTTTTTTGCACGTCATTTTTAACTAGAAATGGTTGGTTGGCATCCGGTGGAGTGTGTACCATTGTGCTATGGATTGCAGCATAAGTCATGTTCATGTTAATCTTGCTTATGCACTTGTTTGGGTGTCCTGTGCTGCACGTGCAGGTATTCTATACAGTGTAAGAGGCACATAGGAACCCAACGTAACCGAATTCATCATTTTTCCACGTATTGACAAAATTTGTACCTTTTTCTCCCCACTTTTTCTAAAAGAGATCATTTAAAGTTTGACCGTATTGGAGACATAGCACTCCCGAAGTTCATCCCGAGTAGTGGTGTTTCTATGAGCAGCGTGGCATCCCCAGCCTCTGTTCCCCTGAGGTGGAAGGGTAGGAGACCCGCAATGGCATGATGACCCCATGGCCAGTGCTGCTCTCTGGGGAAGGCAGCCCTATCTGGTGGCAAGCAAGAAACCAAAATATGATGTTAATAAACTCAGTCTACATCCTGCATACCAATGAAGTGCTTCAGATGAGGATTGATAGGTTTTACGTTTGAATCTAATCACTGACATTCAGAATTCTTGCAGAGAGGAACACTGCATCTTTAAATGAGAAAGTTTGATTTTACTTTTGCTCCTACAGCATGTCAGCATCTCAAGTTCATTTCTTGCAACCTACACTATGGTGATTTGTAATCAAGCCTCCATGAGCTCGTGACATGAAGTACTGTTCTGTTGTCAAGTACTATCAAACTTTTCTGATAATGCTGAGTTAGGACAACCAAACAAAGCTAGCACTAAATAACGTTTAAAATTGTATATCTTTTAATGATCTTTTCAAGTATTTGTTACTGAAATTGTATAATGTGGAGTTTACTAGGTGTTATGTTCCAGTGCAGTGCCTCCTTTTCTTTCCCCACTGCTCTCTGTGGTGAGAAATTTGCCTTGTTTAAAATAATTACTGTGCCCTCGCATGACTGTTAAAGCTTTCTGTGCAAAGATGATTGTCTAAGTGCCACATGCCTATGATTGAGAAAAAAAAATAATCTATTGTTACCTCTGAGTTGTGTTCAACTGAAATGCTATTCAACAAATAACTTAGGAAAAATAGTTCTATTTTTAGCTTTTCATATCTCTGCTGTCTTTTTCTCATTTTATTTTGGCAGCAGTGAAGAATGGATTGTATAAAGACTGCTTGCTAATATTAACAAAATGCACTTGTAATTCCTGGAAATAAATTTAAATCTTATATCTTCACATTAACATTAAGAATTAGTTTTTGGTTTCCTCTTGGGTAATGTCTTTGAATGGAAATCAGGTTCAATTGCTACTGTAGTATATAAGGATGCTGGCTGGTTAATAACTCCAGGCTTCCTCATACCATTTAGTCTGCTCTTCAGAGAAATTAGAAAGCCATTAACTTAGACTTCAGTAGATAAGGGTGCTTACAAGATTCCATTTCAAAATTTTCTTTTTCTTCTAGTTTAAGTGTTAGTCTGCCAAAACTAATTTTTAATCAACAGGAGTTCATCATTAAAGGGCATTTTCTATTAGGAAATTCCTGTGGTACATAAATCTCTGTTGCGGGGAACAAATTCGGAGCATTGTCAGGACGCTGCACAAGTGACCATTGGATCGTGGTGCGGAACCTATGCTAAAAACACTTCTATAGAAGAAATATGCACTTGACTGTTGATACTAGTGTAGAAATTTCTCTTGACCTTTCTACACATCTTTACCAAAATGCTTTTCTCACTCAGTTTTGAAAAGCTGAAATATTTCTAGATTCTCTGCTACTTGTATGATCATCATTACAACAGGAATCATTTTTGGCATGGTTGGAAAGATGACTGTTACTGAAATTAGTTTGTAACACCTCAGTTTTAATTTATTAAGGAAGAACTTTGGCAGCTTACTTCACCCTTCTCTTTCCCAATTCTTTTTTTTAATACTTTCTTTCATTTTGGATGTTTGGGGAGGTGTAGACTTACCCTTGTATCCCATCTCTCCGAGTGAGAAGCCGAGGGTTTGCTTTACCTAATGTTTGGTGCTTTCGGGCTTTCTTACTTAGCTACTCTTGCTGAATCCCACTGGCATCCATCAGGATCCATAACCACATCCATCAGTCTTTTACCGAATTCAATAAACATTGGTGGGTTGAATTTGTTGATGTGTCACATGCCAAAGCATGATTTGATTTTTTTTTGTCAGATTCTGAAAATAGTTTAAAAGAAGGTGCCTCTAACAACACTGTGTTAGGTCAGTTATTTCATCATTTTACACTGGGGTTTTTTCTTTATGCAGTTTTTATATTTTAGAGCGGAGAACATCAACTTTTAATCCAAGTAGCATGCATATTTCATGGTAAAGATGCTTTGGGAGTAAGGAATGTAAACAGTTCACTGTCAAAAACATTCCAACCTTACAGCTGAAGAAAAATATGCAAACCCAAAATTCTCATGGATGCTTTGGCAAATAAGTGTCTGCCTCTGCTGTCCTGCCTGTTGCCAGCCTCTTCCCCACCCCTGTGACATGACACCAGAGCCTGGTTTGTGCCAGAGCTTGGGAGCAACACTGGTGACATAACTGGGCAGTGGCCAAACCCGAGGAGCTGAGCAGGGCTTTCCTTGTGGATGAGAGAAACTAAAACCTGTTGTTGCTGCCCACTGTAATATGCTACGATATATTTATACCATGTCAAAGTTGTTTGCTGAGCAACTGTACTATAGATTTAAACTTTATTAATATATATTTGCTTATGTTAGTGTAGTTTATATAGTCCTTGGTTATTGATAAATTTATTGTGTTGTTACAGCACAGTGATATGGTATAAATATAGGTCTCTACATACACACCATATACTTATGAATTTGGTCCCTTGCATAGTACTTTTATATTTGTACAGCAATGTCTTCAAGCAATCCCAGATTTTAGGGGAAATATTTTTGTAAATGCAGTGGTTTAAATGAAAAAGTCCAAACAATCCTTTTACTAAGTTTTAAATACATTTGTGGTTCAAAATGGTTTAGTTAACAATTGAAATCAAGACACTAAATTAGCGAAAAGTGCACATTAGTAAAGTGAAGCTTACAGTGGTTTTTGTAGCATGTGCTGTGATCAAACCAAGTGACAAATTGGCGGAAATGTAAAAGTTGGAATACATGTGTAAATCTAGAACAAACTTCTACAGGTTGCAGCTGGTTTACTTACTATTGTTGCCTTTTCTCGTGTTGTATCAGTGTAGAGCACTCTTGAAATACTCAAACTGCTTTGTCTTTGCTTTGTACTGTTGGTGCCTTCTTAGTCATGTACCCCACAAGTCCTGCATAGCTAATTTAGTTAATGGTAAGTTTAAAATAAAAAAGCAAAGGAAGATTTTATAAAAAAAAAAAATCATTTTCTGTATGTTCTTATTCATTGTAACAATTAAACATTTATATTGTGACAGATTTGTGATTTGGTTAATCTGTATAGATCAATTGTAAGTAGCAAAGGTTTATATTTCGTCTTATTCTTTTGATGTTGTAAACGTTTGTGATTTTCTTTTTTAAATCAGGTAACTTAATGTTCTGTTTTGTTTTTGGCATCTGAATCTTGTAAAAACAAATGCAAAGAAAATCATTAAATTGTGTCCCTGTATTACCAAACCAGCATAGTTCTGTGCATATATAGAATGACTGGGACTTTGCTTTGCCCCGAGCTGCTGGTCCAGAGGCTGGTGTGGATCATATTGGCTTATCCAAAACTGACCCTCCCTGCACAAGAAGCAGCCTGCAGTCAGTGTTTGTAAATACTCAAGAGTGTGTGTGTCTCACTGTAGAACTGTACCAGTTTGTAATTAAATTAGGGAAGCCATCCAAACGAACCACAGCTGAAGTTTCTTTATAGACAGGCAGAAATGTTTTATCTTTTGTGCAAGAAAGTTATGAAATCATCAGCATTTTGACTTGTTGAGCACAGTGATGCGAATTGATCCAGTGTATCTGATGGGTCACAGGCTTTTTTGACACTCTTTATATGGATATTACACTGTTCCCATGAAATCTCGAAAATTGCTACTTGCACAGCCCTTAGAGACCATATTTTCATCATTTCAGTATAAAAATGTTCTTCTCAGACCATGGGCTTGAAATGTGGGGTTTCTGGGAGAAGTGCAAGTAAGTTACATCACTGTCATAGGCTTTTAATTAATTTTTTTGAAATTTTTTTAGCCTAAAATCAGACTATGCCAAAGAACTGAACTCTTGAAAGATGTAGCTGGATAATGTCAGCTAGAAACATCTCTAATTAATATGAAAACACAGAAAATGTGACCTGAAACTAAAGAGAGCTTAGCTGTAACTGACAGCTCTGTAACAGCTCTGAGAATTGGCTTGTCAAAATGCATCTCTGCATCCCCTCTTTGGCTTTCACTGCAGCATACAGAATTTTTTCCCAAAATACTACAGAATTTGATTCTTGACATAGATGGGTCTATGTGTGTTCTTACTTTTTGTTGGCTGTGGCTGTTTCCCTGGCAGAACGTGTGTTCACCATAGCATGTTCTTCAAGGTACGGCTGCACTGCAGCTTGGCTCCGTGGAGGTTTTGACAGGATCCTGGCTGACTTCATGTTGTCGTGTTGTTTCAGTCAGGTTAGTTTGAAATACCACGCAGATTTTCTGTATTTCACCAGAACTGGAGGCTGATCCTCTCCATCTGTAAATCTTCAAGTGTAGTGGGCACTCTTGGACTGTTGGAGCCCGAGCTGGGTGTGTGGATTGGGCAGGGGCTGGTGGTTCCAGGGAGAGCCCCCATGTTCTGGAAGCTGAGCTGCCTGTGCTGGGACAGGCGGTGCACTCGAATACTCGGGAAGGCTGGCAAGGAGTACAAGCCCTACTTATTGGAAGAGATACTAGTGTAGGTCTGATGGCATCAAGCTTTGTAGAGCTCTGACCCAGGTATTTCTCTACAGACCAAAGATGCTTCTGTGTCATGCACGTCATCTTCAGTTATTCTTTCTACTAAATTGCACATATGTTACACTTGACAAGCTTAAAAAAAATTTCGAGGTGTGTAGAAGACCTACAAACATCATTGCATCCAAGTGTGCTGTCTGTTGATGGTTTTCTTGCTCTGATGTGTCTTTTCACCACACGTGACTCTCCAGGCTTCAGAGGAGTTCTAGAGCCTCAGCTCCGGTTCCAAGAGCAGCTTTGGTGAGTCTGCAAACAGCCCCCTGGTGCTGTGCAAGGTGCCAGAGGTGCCGGTGTTCACATCCCCATCACAGCCCTGCTCACGGCTGTTCATGTGAGGACTGATCTTGGGAGTTATATGCGAGAATTGTTCTGTAACCCCTCTGTCTTTCCCCTTTATAAATTATACTGACAACTTTCCTTCAGGTGTTTTCCAGAACTCTGCCTGTTTTTTCAGTATATCTCACTACTGACAATTTACTTTTCTCTTTGCGCTCAAACTCAGTCTGAACAAGTTCCAATTGTTCCAAAAAGTCTTTTTTCTATAGGATTTGTGAGCTTCCTGATGACAAACAACAGGTGATTGGTCACGTTGCTTAAACTCATGTAAATCCAGGGTAGAAGTAAGCAAAAAAGCTGGAAGGTCTCCTGAGACTCTTCCTGTGGAAGCACAGCATGTGATCTGGTAACTGTACCTGGATTTCTGAGAAGGCAATATAAAAACAGAGATAAGGATCAGGAAGGACCAATGCGTTTGGCTAACATGGGCCATGAAACTGAGTTCCATTGGGGTGGTTGTTGGGAACTTTTGCCTGAAGTCCAGCAGTCCCTGGTTCAAGCTTTTCTCTTTTTGACAAAATACTTGAATACCATGTGAATACTGAAAACTTCCTGGTACTTCCCCAGAGTTGCCTCTCATCTTCCTCTCAGCACACACACAGAGCCCCTTTTTCCTGACATTCCTCCTCTTTCCATCTAATTTATTAGTGTGGTAGAGAGATGTGTGATCCTTCTGGCTTTTCATTGTGCTTATGTTTGTGCATGAAGGCTGAAAAGAGGAACCTTAAGGTATTCCATTCCTGATTTCCCTGAAAAGAGCAAGAAATACCTTAACAGGGTATTGCAGCATTTTCTCATCAAAAAGACAGTGTTAAAAAACCTTTCGTTTATCTTCCCAGTCTGTGAGTTTGTGTGCACTTAGCTGCTGACTGAAATCCTGCTCCTCCCTTTCTCCTTCCCTTGCTGCTTGGACTGGGCTGACCTTTGATCTCGCTGAGTCCTCTTGCAGTGACACTGCTCTTCCTCAGGGGTTTACACTTTCCGTGTTGGTAGTTTTCTCCAGAGTCCCTTATCTGCTGTGACTGATTCAATTACTTCACTCCTTTGTTCTTACTTTTCCTTACCTTGCACACTTGGAGATTCCTACAGTCTCACAGTTTGGCTTTTGCTTTTTAATTTTTTTCTGTAAAGCTGAGCTAAGGACACAGTTGTGCTTCACAGAGCTGAGCCTGGGTACAGGCAGCTGACCCCAGGGCCCTGGTTAAGCTGCTGGCTCTGGGGAGGAAGTGTGGATAGTGCAGAGCAGCTCCGGCGCCGGGTCGGTCCTGCGTGCCTGGGGTGGCACCAGAGTTGGCAGTGCAGAGATCTGTTATTCCACCTGCCGAGTTTAATGCTGACCTTAAACGCACAACCTAGAAATAAGAATGGAAAACTCTAGTCTTCTCTACCCACAATGTGTGTGTGCTTCAGCATGTCTGAAAATTCAGGATTTTTAGCAAAACAATAATGAACCAAAAGCTGTAAGGGAATGCCAGGCAATTATTTTAAATTTGCTATTACTAAAAGACTTGAGATGCACCTTTTAGGGGGAGTTGTTTGTTTGTTTGTTTGTTTTTGTTGGGTTTTTTTTTTATAACATCCAAGACTAAATGGCTTGTTGAGAAGATGTTTTTCTGCCTTAAAACTACAAATGCCAAAATGCTGAATATTTTGAATTTTGGCTTGAGACTGAACTGAGGATATCACAAGAGAGCTGGAAGGTTTTTTAGTCAAGCCTTTCTCCTAGGTCACCTTTAATTTCAATAGCTAGTACTTAAAGGGAAATTTTGACTAAAAAAACCTTTCTATGTTCCTAGAAGTTAAAAACTTACAGATATTCTAACTTGTAGTTGAGACATCATAGACTCAAGACCTTGTAATGTATTCTGTGTTTTTTAAAAGCTTTTTGTTAGTTTTATGTACATGTGTACCTTTGCAGGCTTTCTGACTAGGTGTGCCACAGGTGTGGAGGGAACCCAAACTTGCAGGCCAGTTTGCACACTCAGAAGCACTTCAGTGGATGCTGTTGCTGTCACTAAAACTCCGTGTTTTGATTCCGTGTTTGCTCTCATGCAGAGTAAGTGCAGCTCCAAACAAAAGTGGGGATTAAGAAAAAAAACCTGGTCATTTCTTATTCTGTTGTAGCTAAACTTAATTTATAAACGTGGTTTTGAGGGTATGTTTAGTATTTTGGAAGAACTGTATTAAGCTGTTTTTACAGCTGATTTGTTGACATTTCTGTAAGTAAAATACGCTTGTTGCAGCATGGCAAAGGTCTGCATAATTCATGTGTGCTTAACTTAATCACTGGTTTTCTTCTTGTTACAATAAATGGCATTGTACCAAAAGCAATATATCCTGTGTGTAGTTAGTAGTGGAAATAATTATTACTGTGCAGCTTGTATTCTCATTGTCTTTGCAGCCTCTAGCATGGATCATGTGTACTGACAGTAGCTCCAGGCTATTAAAGATGTCTGGGGGGAAAAACAGGTCCTGGATAACATTTATTTGCTTTCTGGAAGCTGCTACTTTGAAGCAGAAAAGGGTCACACCTGATGCTGCTTTAAGCTTATTTTCTTGTGAGTCTTATCATGAGAATACATCCAGGTCTAGAGTGTTTCTCCGGATTTGCTCCTCCACATTTTTCCTTTTGAGAAAGGCCCAGGCTCAACACCAGCATCACTAGAACCAAGGATTTTAAGAGAGCGGAAGGGCTATTTTCTCTGCTTGATTTTGGGATTCTGCTAAGCTGTGCCTTAGAGCACAGCACTGTAAAAAGACTTGTGGAATGCTGCAACTGGTTTTGCTCACCAACTACTTAATTCAAGACCAGATAAGACCTTGCAGGCAATTTGCAAAACTTGGGAACTCTCCAGTCCTGAGTTCTGTTCCCTCCTGCCCCCAGTAGCAATTCTGCACTACTTGCTCTGCAAGTAAATGAGCCCTTGATGACTCCCTTCAGAGTGAAGCTTTGGTTTTCGTTTCTTAGTGCTCAAAAGGACAAGATATTAAGGCCGTTCTCTCCCATCACTTGCATTCGACTGCTAGTGTGGTAGTCATCATACTGAATTGTCACTGTGCTTGTGCTGTAGAAATAACAGGGCTGAAGAACTTGCTCTTCTCAATGTGTGTATTCCTCCTCGCTTTCAAATTCTGTAGAAAAATACCTGCTTTAAGTTACAACTAAATAGCTTTCCTGCATTCTCTGTGCATATTTTTCTCTGCTGCCTCCTACTCTTCTTAAATGTGACTTATTTTACTGCTAGTAGTGCTAAAAATGTAGTACTGCAGGTGTCATGTGGTAACTTGTAAATAAAATTACTGTAAACACACGGTCAAGTTCTTTGTGGTGCTGCTCTGTACATGTGTGACCCC